AGCCCCTCCACAACATGTTGAGCTGGGTCAGACCAGCCCGAGTCTGGTAGGCTGACCCCCTGGGCTCCCTGCCACCTGGGGCTGCTCTGACCCAGCTGAACGTGCTGTCCCAGGCACATTCAAATGTGGCACCTAGGAACAATAAACTCTGGTGCAATATGTGCCGGAGTTTATTGCTGCACATTAATTGCATGTGTAGATGCTCCCACTGCGTAGCTAAAAGGGCCCCCAAGAATAAATGAGAAAGCAAATCAAAGGCTTTCCTATTCTCCTTGGTACCTGCCATGCACATACAACTTTAAAAAGCAAACACAGAGGGTATGGAGAATGCTATCAAATCAGTGAGTAAAGCCCCTCTATGCCACTGGAGAATCTCTCTTGTGTGGAGGGCTTGGCTGGCTGGTGTAGTGAGGACATAAAAGCTTCAGACTGGCCCAGCTCCCAGCCCCTGGCACAAGAGAGAATAGGGAGTTGGGGGAAGCAACGCAGCCTGGAAACTGCTTTAAATTGAAGAGCGGAATGGGTATAGCCCCAGAGTAGAGTAGGTCTAATCCTGAGCTTTTCTACTGTCTTTTTATGATTCTCTCAATTTCTGCCTTTTAATGCTGCCACACTGATATAAAAAGGTCTTAATGCAAGCATGTCAAAGATATGGTCTGTGGGCCAGAGGCCTATGGAGCCCTATCATCTATCTGCAGTGATACCTGATATCAGAGTGGACCTGTGCACTACATGTGGTGCACGTCAGACTAGCTCCTCATGGTGCATGGGGAGGGTAGGGCTGGTTTGGTGTGCACAGCAGACAGTGCCCCAGGCCAGTCCTGAGTAGGTCAGTCCCAGCACACACTACTGGCTCTACTCAGGACTGGCCTGGGGTGCATGCTGCACTCAGCTGGTCTCAGGCACATGCTGATGGATGGGGCCAGTCTGAGGGACATGTTGCCAGCTGCACTTCAGGCTGGTCTGGATGTACAGTGTTGGCAGCTCCACAATGCTGTGTACTCTGGGCTGGGCTGGGGCATACATTGTCCATGGCACCCGTGCTGAATAGGACCTGCACACTGGATCCAGCACTCAGGGCTTGTATGTGGGCCCAATCTGGCCTGAAAACCAGCCCAATACTACTCATCTGGCCAGTGAGGCATGATAATTTTAACACCCCTGCCTTAGTCTAAGCAATAATTCAAGCCTGGGAGAGCAAAGGTGCTTAGGGCTTATCTACAAGTACAGGCATTCTGCAAAACTACTTCTGATTACCTGTTCCTGCTAACTCCCTGTATAGATTTCCTTTTCTGGAAGAAGAGTGCCTCATTCTGAATTGGCTTAATTCACATTGGAAGAGCACTGAAATAATTCCGAATGAGACCCAAGGTCCAGAATAAGGATGCCCAGACAGAGCGTTAGTAGGGAATAGTTATTGTGCTTTAAATTCAAATCCTACCTTGCTCTGAATTAATTTCCCTGTGTAGGCAAGCACTACAGAATCAGGTTCTGCAAATCCCTCACACCAATGATGCTAAATTGGAAGTTATACCCACTCTTGGCAGGTGTAAGTGACTGCACAAGGTACAGGGCAACAGATGATTAGGCTCAATATGTTCACTTTCCTGCAAAGGTTTCCCTCCTTCCCCCCGAGAGATTGAAAAGGTCTCCCTTAGTTCACAGTTGAGCCCCCATTGTCTATCACCATAACAGGATCAGTTCTTTGCTGTGTGCATGCCAGTCTGCTCTGCCCCAGTAAAATATAAACAAGTATAATCTTCACTCTATCAATGCCTTCTGGGACCTACTAGTTGTTGGAAAAGTGAGACAGGGCAGTCCCAATTTTCCATCAACCTGCAAAAATGCAGGGAACAAGCTGCCTCTCTGCAACTTTTGTGTTCATGCATTACATTTTCTTTCAATTAAAACACAGAGTTTCTCAACCCAAATAGAAAAGTTTGTGGTCTGAGGTTTCATTACAGACAGGAGAGCTGAAGCTCTGCTCCTTCTTATAGCAATAAGTACTAAGTTTCTATTTTTTCCTTTGTTTACTACATTAAACAGATTATTCCTCTGAATAATTTTGAAACTCTCTTGCATTTAAATAGACAGGCATTGTCAATTTAAAAAATGTGGTTAATTAAAAAAATGAGTTAAAAGGAATGAGGTCAATTTAAAAACTAGTCAGTGAAAAAGTTAGTTAAAGAAGGATACTGTCAAGTTAAGCTCTAGTTGGTTTCCATCAATGGTTGTAGGAAACCATCAACTTCAACATCACAACTTCCCCTGAAATTCTTTTAGCTTCTGTTGGTATAAGTAACAGTGAAGATGGCTATCACCAAAAGAGATTAGGAAAAAGAAAACTCTTTCCCCTCCCCCCCTCTTTCATTTGGTTTGTTTGTGCTGTGCGTTTGACAATACATTCAGGCATTTTTTTCTCCTGAAGTTATTCGGTATTCTCCCTTCATGTATGCCGTGACAGGGGAGACAGAAACATATATAAAAAGGAAAATGTGATTAATAAAGTCATTAAAACTTGTCCAAGGGCTTTAGAGACAGATGTAGAACCTGAGATTTAATTAAGTCTAGTGAAAAAAAATCTCTCTCAAAACTGGTTTTCATCAGAAAATTGATTTTTTTTATGAAATGATTTTTTTTTTGTGAAAAGCATCTGCTTTCCACAGAAAATTCGATTTTTCATTTAAAAATAAAACCTGAGCTTCACCTTACGTGATGAATGGCCTCACCTCTCCAAGATGATGATGATGATGATGATGATAACCACTAACAATAATACACAAATTAAGTCTATCAAGTTAGTTACTCTTATCAGAGAAGAAGAGATAGATACTGTTTGTTATTTCTGTAAATCCTGGGAAGCACTCTGATTCTATGGCAAAGAGGCAATAAACCAGTCAGCTATTTCTGGTGAAAAACATTCAGAGCATACATAACAATACAGACTATTTACTTTGTGTTTTGTTGAACATTAAGATTAATCATCCCTTGAAGAAAAGAAAAGAAAGGAAGAAAAAGTTCAGTTCAACCCAGGTTAATGCATTATACACAGGTCAACTGTATACAGAACAATGAATTTTTAAAGGAAATTTTGGGTGCACACAACCCAAACCAGGAGCCTATGATAAATAGATGGTAACCATTTGTTGTTATGCAATTCATTTGGCATTTCACTGCCTGAATTTTCATTAGCGACAAATTTGCTTTAATTGTTTGCTTGCCCAGAATTATCGGTGACACATTTGGCACTGATCAGCCTCTGCAATTCATTGGCCATTTCTGTGGCTGCTTTGCCTTGGGCTTTCATGCTCAGTGCATGGAACCTCTGCACTTCCACATTACTGAGTATATTATATCATATTCACAATCAGCAATTTAAAAAATGAATAAATAATTCATTTGTAATTCAAGTTTTGGGGGGGAAAGGGTTAGATTATTAAAGACCAGATTTATTTACACTTCATTTATTCAGTGGGGCTTATTTTTTAATGTTATGATGATACTGAATTACTAGAGAACACAAGCCAGTTTCCCACCATGTAGCAGGTGGATCCTAATGAACTCATGTGGAATTCCGTTCAATATTTTCAAGATGTGCACATCTCTCTCTCCATCGGTCCTTTAGTGCCCCCCTTCATTTACAAGCACATTGCCTGGACAGAGATTTTCCATTAGGAGTTTCTTGACTTTCACATCTGTTCACTGAGGTTAAGCCCCTTTGTTCCTTCATATTCTTGGTGTTTTCTGAATCACAAATGGGACAGAAAAACCCAGAATGTTACTGTTTGTCCTTTCCCTCTTCTCAAGAAGTTTAAGTCTGAGGCCCCAGTCTTGCAGACTTCCACACATGCTTAACTTTTAGCACTGTCAGTGCTTCCAGTTGACATAAGTTTTCCCAGGATTGGGCTTCCTTAATGTCTGCCTATATTTCCCATTAACATTACTGGGGCTTATGAAAAGGACCCAAGAGCAGAAGAGCCCTTGCTCCACAAAGAGGCTTCGTCTGAGATACACAAGGCTTTTGTAACCATTTATCCTGCTTTAATGGTCTGCTATTCATTTTGTTCTGCCACAACACAATGATATATTAAGTGACCAGCTGGCCACAATGCCTCCTTTTAATAGCTTCAAAGATTTGTTGTTGTTGTTGCTTTTAAACCATTTATCTACATACAGGGTTTATGTGTTTAATAATTGCACAGCAGCTGGTAATTAAGTTCAGCTAGTTCAAATTAACTTAATTGTGCCTAATTCTGTAATGCCCCATAGGCAGAACTAGCCTTAACCTGAAATCCACAGGGACATTGTAGAGATATCCACAAATTCTGTTTCAAGCCACAAAACTAGGAACATACCCATGTTTGAAATCAAAGGGCCCCTTCTGTTCCACCAATAACTTTATCTAGAAAATCCTGTAACACAGTGAATTACATATACATATATTTCATGTCAATCCTTGGAATAAGTGAGGGAGTCAGGTGATGGGAAGTCATCTGTGGCAATCAGTGTGGCTGCTCATATAATACTGCTGGACATCAGCTCCTAAAATTAACTCAACAGTGGAACAAGGGTGAGGGTTCTAGTTTATTCCCTTGCCTGCCTCTTTGGCAGGCAGCTCATGGCTGGTGGCCACCCATTACATTATTTAGGATTTAAGAGAAAATATGCATGACATTTCTAGGCTGTTGACCAGCCATGTACCTATTGCTTGGTTTCATCATAACAAGGATTTTAATGTTAATAGTACCAAAGGCTGCCTATAAACATGCTCAGAGGTGGGAGGGGGTTGTTTTAATTAGAGCCGTTTCTAGGCAGCTACTCCATTTAAAATGCCACAGTGCCACGTGTATAAAAACTCCACATTTAAAAATGGTTGTGGGAAGCTTTATCTAAAACTTTGGTTAAAGTGCCCCGCGACCATTTTTAAACGTGCAAGGGCTTAATGCATGTGACGCTGTAGCATCCTTATTAGAATGTGTCAGAGCACAAATATAGGCAGCCAAAGTGCATAAGCCTGTCTCACCTACAATTTCTGTTCAACGATAATTTTTTTCTTAAAAACTGCACAGTTAAAAATTTAGGCACAGATCCACACATGTATTTAGGCACCTAATTTTTATTTAGGATTATAGCGAGAGCTTGATGCTAATATTCCTTAGTGGATCTGAGTCTCAGTGCTTCCAAAGCAGGACTACTGATGCTACTTGTCGCTATATTTTCCCTTTCCCCTACCCTGTGTCCATCTGGTGTTCTGTTTCCAATACTAAAATGTTTCTGACTAAATTCATTTTGAGTCATGGGGCAAATAAATCAGAGATCTAAGTAAAAGCTGAAATCATGAAAGGGCGTTAAGTGCATGGAGACAGACTCATACTTATTTACATTTTTGAATGAAAGCTTGGAGTCATGCACATTTCAGCTTCTAAAACCTTGTATATACTATCTTCTGTGCCAGAGCATTTCTCCTTTTAGAAAACTTGCATCCTTGGTGTACTTCAAGACAGAGCTGGACATTTTTCTCTCCTGACTTCCTCCAGTGCTTGCTTGGCTTTCCTTCATGCGGCAGCAGTAGAACTGGTTACTCCTTCACTGTACTCTCTGAAGTAGTCACTGTACTGGCCTCTCAGAACGAGTGGACACTGTTCCAAAGACTTGATTTGCTTTGTTTTGGCATTTCCACAGTTGTCCTTTATATATAATTTCACTTTTAACTTAAAATTATTTTATTTTGCTGGTCGCTTCCATATTGCTTCATTCAAAATCCAGAAAACAGTTCATAGCGAGAACAAATAAAATCATAGCTTAAGTGCAAACTAACTTTCCAGTGAACTGCTATGTGCATTTTATCCAGTCCAGTGTCTCCTTTCCAGTTTAAAAGACGCCCTGTTTGGGCCACCCCTTGGAACACCAGCAGGGTTTTTGAGCTATATTAAACTCTTCTCCCTCCATCTTGTCCTCAGTGTTGCCTACTGCATCCCCAAGCAATTTAATCAATGAGCAAAAAGAAATAGAGGGGAAAATTGCATGTTGTTTTTTTTTTTTCTTTTTGTATAATCAATAGGTATAAAACATGAAAGTGAGGCCCTGTGGATACAAATCTTCAGTCTTGGCCTCTCTCTTTTGCCTTCAAAAAAAGGATGTTGGAGGTTTACATTTGTTTTGTTAGATTTCTTTCCTGAAAGGATGGTTTTGTGTTTAAAATACTTGTTGGCATGTAGACGCACACGGTAATGTCATGCACAGGAGCTTTGAGTTAAAGTCTCCGTGGTTAGGAAATGGAACATAACTGTGGGAGTGGCTAAGAAGAAGGGAATGGCCAGATGCAAGAATCGAATCATCATTGTTGCTGCTGTCATTATTTCTTGGATGGCCACGATGAAGATCTGAATGGTTATGGAAAGCTGGGTTAGCCATTTTCAGTCGCTGGGATAGAAAGTGTTAGAGAAAGAAATTGGATTTTCAATCTCAATTATTATGCTATCACACATGGTATAAAAAATTGTCCTTTTTTTTTTTCCCTAATGGAAACTGCATTGCGATTTCCAGGAATGCTGAATAGACTCTCATCAGTTCCTGCTGATAGAAACAGACACTGTGTGACTTTCCCTACAGCATCCAAGTTGAATCACTGAGAATTAGCTTGACAGCAGGCAACACTGCCACTGGCCTTTACTGGTATTCTCTGGCTTGTCTGACCTTCTGACCCTCTGGGTCCATGGAAAGCGAGAAATGCCAGATTTTGTCCTCCTTTCGTTCTCTTTCTTTCTTTCCTTCTGGGTTCCCAACCCAATCGGCAGATGACTTAAAGGTGTCCTTCCACTTGGAAATATCAAAGTGAGTGAACTGGCAAGAAGAGGAAGCTCACAGGAGAAAGGAAGGGAGAGAGAGAGAGAGAAAGAAAGAGAGGCTGCTAAAAAGGGGTTGCCTCTCCACTTCTGTAATACTGCTGTTACTACACCACTGTGTTTCGGTGTCTGTAGGGTGGTGGGGGCAGCACAGTGCCAGGCTTCAGGGAGAACTCAGAGAGGTATTCAGGGTTCTCTGCCACGATGGGCCGGATCCGTCCATTTTGTTTGTAAAAATATTTTGTGCTGTACTCCTGCAGGTAGTCCGGGTGCTGGAGGGTGCTTCGTGGTGGCAGGCTGTGATTCCAGTAATCTGGGTTGTCAAAGGCCTTCTTGGACTTCTCCGGCAAAGGAAGCCCATTGTTCTTCAGGTATTCGGCATTTTCCAAAGTGTTAGCAAAGGTGTTGAGGTACAATGGCTCATTCACATATTCATCCTCTGCTTTGGATTGCCCATTTGGAGCATTGTGATACTCTGGGTTGTCCAGAGCTTGGAGATCACCGTTCTTCCGGCGGGAGACAAATGGGTTCTCCTCTACTGGGTTCAAATAATCTAAAATAGACAAAATGCATGTCAACATATGGAGAAAGCAGTACATCCATTCAGCAACCAGCCCTTTCAACTAGGAGCTTGTTTTAACATTGATGTCAGACCTAATCAGGGGTGATGCATAGGGAGTACATGTGGATGCACTTGCACCCACTGTGTGTGGTGGTACAATCCCTGCAAAAAGGCACTGCCAACACACAGGGGGTGCAAGTGTGCAGGAGCTCTCTGCTCACTGCCTCTGGGCTCCTGCCGCTGCTGCCACACTCCTGCTGGCACAGCTGTGCCCCCCAGCTGCCAGGGGCATGTGCCGTTCATGGACCTAATGGTAACAGCACACTTATCCATGTTGCTATTATTCATTTATACCATGGTTCCTAGATATCAGGGCCAAAATTGGGTTAGGTGCTGTACAAAATCATTGCGAGAGACAGCCCTTGCCCCTAAAAGCTTACAATCTAAACAGAAAAGGCACCCAAGGGGTAGGAAAGGGTACCATTCCCATTTTAGAGATGAGGACCTGAAGCACAGAGAACCCAATGGCCTTGTCCAAGATCACCAAGAATGTGGGGCAAAGATGGGAACTCAGATCTCCTTGAATCTCATACAAGTGCCTTATCAAGGATGACCCTTCCCCCCAAGTGCAGTATGGAGTATGGTCTAGTGATCATAGAAGTGGAATAAGAGTATCATGGTCTATCCCCCTCTCTGCCACTGATTCATTATGTGACCTTGGACTAGTCATTTTTACTTCTCTACCTCATCACATTTTCCCCATCCAGAAACTGGTATTTAAGCCTCTGGTTTTATTATCCATCACTTAAGTCACCTTTGTATTATAAACCATTCCAAAGCCTAACCTTTACAACTGTTCTCTTAAAAATGCAGCTTGCTGGCTGATTAACCAGCTGCCCTTACTCAATGATACAAAGCTAGATATTCTGCTAGTTATTCTAATTAGCATTGAGAGGGACCCTGAGCTATTATTAAGCCAAGATTAGGACGGTGAGATCCATATCAAATATCCAGAACGTGAAGTACGCTTTTCACGTATCTGGTGTGATCTTCATCACTGCTTGAAGGCACTCAGCACCCACAGGGAAAAGGAGGGGAAGGGTTTTTTTCACAGCACCACAAGAGAGGCCCATCAGAAAAAAACATTAAATAAACATGAAGACAGGGCATGTGCAGGAGGCTCTGCACACCACTCTTGGGGTCAGCAAGGACTCTGCTGAGGTGGGAGCCTATTACACTAAAGTCATGGATGGATGCATGCATGAACTGACCTGCTAGGTCCCTTCCTCAACTCTTCCTTTGTTGCCCTCAGGAAGTCACAATTACTAACCTCCAGTCAGTGAATTTACCCAAGAAGTGAAGTTGTGATTATTCCTTCACTTAAGTCAAAGCATTTATACGGATCCCTGAAACCCCAGACTTAGTGCTTTACCAAGCAGAGATGAACTTAAGCGGGTGCTTCAAAATTAAACACATGAGTAAATTCTCTGCTGAACCTGGCTCCAGGTGACTACGGGTGCTGTTACATGTGCTCCAGGAGGTGAGGGGGAGGTGCTTTAATTAAAACGCTCAGAGAGTCTTGTGTATCAGCATCCCCACACTTCAAAATAGTGGCGGGGTGCTTTATCTAAAGCTCATTGAACAAGTTTTAGTTAAAGCACCCCCACTGCCATTTGAAGCATGGGGATAGTGATACACAAGATGTGGAGACTGGCTGAAGTGCAGTAATTTCCATGCTCCAGTAGACTCTGCTAATTGAGCCTGCTTTGACATGTTGTAATTACAGCGCATCAGAGCAGCCTCCCAGCTCATGTATGGGCACTCATAGGCTCCATATATCTTTTTCCCTTCCTTTGGGCACCTGTGTAGGGCTAATCACAATCTATGTATAGTACACAAGGTAGGGCAAGGTGGCACCTTAGAGACTAATGTGGGTAACCACCTCTACATGCTGAAGTGGAATTCAAGAGCTGTTTAAAAGAATCAGCATTATAACACACCATTCTAAAGGGCTGAAAGCTACAGACACCTCATCTTAAATTAAAACATTTGTGTAATTGTTTCATTTAAGTGTGATACAGGGAAATAGGCTGAAGTGTGGCCCCCTGATACAGCTAGATTTGGCATAGATCTGCAATGAAATGTTCTTATCTATGCAACATCTATTGTGCTTTTGGAACTGAGCTTCTCCTGGGCATAAAATGCCAAGTTTGTGAAATGGTTGAAAGACACATTGAAGATGACATCAAAAGACACACTGGAAATTACAGCTAGTTAAAAAAGGGTATTTTTCATGAAAAATCCGGAAGTGGTTTTTGTTTCCATTAAAATTTTCTAATGCATTCTTCTTTCTTTTTTTTTTTAATTAAACTGAAACAGGGAGAACCTGAAACCCAACATTTTAGTATCTGCTTTCCATGGGGGGAAAAAACAAACAAACCAGCCACATCACTTTTTTCGCATTAGAACTGATGGTTTAGTCAAAAAGTCATTTTTGGTCAAGAAATATTTCAGCAAAAGTATTAAGCTAAGGTCCTTCTAGAGTATTTTACTCCTAAATGCTAAATCTTTACCTGTTTTGGGCTTGTCACGCATTGGAGTCATGTATCCGTCTTCATCTAACTCACTCCGTGGGCTCCGCTCAGGTACAAATACCGTTGGGTCAGCACTATACCTCTGAGTGCTGCTGTCCTCTTGTGCAAGGGTAGCCACCTGCTTCCGCAGTGTGCCATTGCAGCAAGTGTCATCAAAGATCTCTGCTGCAGCTCCTTGGATAACTGGGGCCTCTGGTACTATGCAGCCAGTGGGTCTGTATGGCAGAGGCACTCCTTGTTCAGCAGTGAAGCCGCCATCTCTATACAAAAACTGGTTCTGTTAGAAATAAAAAGGATTGAGACAGACTAAAGTAACTGATTGAACAGAGAGACTCTTTTGCTTTCACATCAATTTTTAAATTCAGTGCTGCATTTTACTTAATGCTTGGACCCTTCTTTAGACTGAAGATCACAGCCATTGCTGTAGCTGCATCAGTGCACTCTGGCATAAACCGAAACAAAGATGTTACTTGCATAGGTGGTGCTTACCTCAGTTTCAGTCAGGATGAAATTACATCAGTACAGTTAATGGTGTTGCCCATTAACACTGCTGCAGCTATACAAATGGCTGGCTACAGATCCTGAAAGTCAGGCAAGTCACCAGTCTAGACAGGCCTAAGAGTCATATACGCAGTAAATGGAACCAACTTATATAGTTTTCTTTCTCTGCTGGGCTGGCAAGAATAAATTCTTCCTCTTCTTTGAACAACAAACTTTAAACATGACCTGATGGAAAACTTCCTCAAGAAAGGACAGAGAACACTGCCACCCCTAAACTGTTATTTATTCCAATTGGACAAAGTTTTGATGTGAATTTGTAGCAATAGTCAAAACCACGCAGTCACGTAAACTCTATGCTATTACGATGAGAGCTGAAATTTAGCTTGCATTTCCATTGGTATCTCAACTCATTGCTTTGCCTCAGCCTATCATTTTGCTGGTCAATAAGAGTGTTCATGTAAATCTCATTATCGTGACCTACAAGAAGAAAGGAAAAGTGGGCAGAAATGTCCCAGCTCTATACCTACATCTTTTTTTGTGAAATATTATCAGATATTCTGGATATACAGTACCATGGAACTCTAGATGTTTTGATGAATCAAGACTAGGGTTCAACAGACATGTATATTTGGTTAGGGTTTATATATTTTGAAACACTGTTGGCTTTGGATAAATTGGGCAATTTATGAAGAAAACAAGGAAGGAAACAGTTGGTTTAGAGAGACAAAAAAACCCTAAAGGATGAAGGTTGATTGTGAAATACTTACTCCTGACATAGGGGTGTACGCAGGAGGAGGGCTGTGTCCAATTTCACTCTAATAGGAAAGAAAAATGGAATGATGGATATAATAAGAGGTCACATGAAAGAAAATAAGTCACATGAGCTGTATGAATCAATGGGGAAAAACATGCACAACAGTGAGAGGCCAGATCTGGCCATTCCTGCCCAGGTAGGTAACACTCCCCTTGAAGTCAACAGGCTTTTGGATTCAGTGGGAGTATTGCCTGAAGCAGGACCACAGGATTTGTCACTAGCTAATTAAGAACAAGGGCTACATTGGCTGATAGATGCCTGTTTTGCAAATGTCTTTGGTTTAAGTTTTGAAGAGACAGATTCTCTAGAGACACTGATGTACATGTGGAAGGTAGGCTTATCTCATAAAGAATGTAGAGCAGGGAAAGATGCTGCTATTTTCAGTCAGCCCAAAGTATACTAAAATGTTTCCTTTTCCACCTATCAAATAGCAGGAACAAGATAAAGACAGGGGAATCTAAAACCCAGGATGAAGGCTCTTGCACCAAGCCTTCACATACTACAGCTGCTTAAAGCTGAAAGGGAGGAGGAGTGGGAATATGAAAACAATGGCGGGGGGGGGGAGCCATTTTCATTTTAATTTAAAGTTTTCTGCAAATATTTTGATTTGAAAAATGAGTATGTTACAGGGAACTTTTCATTTTGTTTTGGTAAGAAAAATAAAACCCTATTTCTGCTTACTTTTAAAAAACTTTGCCCATTTTTTCCACTGGAAAAAAGAGGGGCAGGGAAAGACAGGGAAATGTGAGACAAAGTAGGAAAAAAACCTTTCTATCAGAAGAATTCAGCCAGCCTTAATACACACCAGTATCAAAGAAACTGCATTTTTTCCCCATATCCCACTCAATATCTGTCTCAGAAAAATACAAGAATGTTAAGAGAGGTGCCTCACCAAAAAGATAAAAAATATATACATAGTACAATGAGGTTGAGGGGCATTATTGCCAATGTCATATATGTTACTACTTACAAACATTTTACCACAAGGTATTAAAGGCAGACGTGGCTGTACTGCTTATCTTTCAGATTGCCTGACATTCCCTTTTATGACACCCTGTTTTCAGTTGCTTATAAGTTTGCCAAATTTTAACAGTTCAGACTGAAATTTTCCATGCTGGATGCCTGCTTCAGGCAGATTTTATTTTCAAAGACCCAGCTATAACAGTTCAGATTTTCCTGGAAATAAGACTGGGGGAAAGATGATGCTGTACTTATGTTAAAAAAATGTTGAGCAAATGATCACATGCAGAGTTGAAAGAGAGATGTAAAATTTGGCAGAGGGAGTTCTCCTACAAGCAGAAATATACCTATTGCCTTCCCTGTGAAAATCCACCTAATTTGGCCAAAATATAAGTTTCTGAAATATTTCAGTTTATGCATCACACATGCTCCGTGGAGATGTTTTAGAATTTGACAGCTAAATTCTCTTAAGTTTCCATCTGCACTAAGCATGTTCCAGCTCAGGAATGTAATATCTGAGCATGACTTTTTCTATAAATGCTTTTTCTGGAAGCTCAAATGGTAGAGGTGAATCTAGGGATTGAAAGATTGCAAATCTAAACATTCCAAAGTACTAACATTGCCCATGCAACCTTAATTTGGTCCTCTTGTGCCAATATGTTATGAACATCTTTAATATCAAGATCACATACTAGTGTTTCAGAAACATCTGAATCTCCCCAGAGAAAGAGATGATCCAGAAAGGGATAGGTGTAACTCTACAGGGCAACAGGTAGCACAGGATCATTAATAGTTTTATTAAAATACAGAGGCTGAAGCAAGACAAAGGAGAGAGTGAAGGATAAAATGCCTTGTCTGCAAAACTGAAATAAGCATTGATATGAAGGTGAGGTAATGATATGTGGGGCCCACAGAGCAAAAGGAGAAGTGAGGATGTAGCGCTGACAGGTACCATATTTGCTCAAATATAAGATGACCCTGACTATAAGATGGCTCCCCAATGATTAGATTCTATATATAGAAAACTTATAAATTTGTTATAATTTTCCAGGTATAGAATCTAATTTTAGGAGATTTGCCTTGAATTTGTCCCCCTCCCACTGCTACAGCAGGGAAAATAAATCTGCGGGGGAGGGTCAAGTAGTCCCCTTGCCCTCTGCCTCCCAACTTCTTCCTCCTTCAGCCCCTCCCCCCACTTTCAGACCCTGCTCTCCCTGAGCACATAAAAAAGAGAAGGGAGTTTGAAAACATGGACTTTGTATTATGGGTACCTATATCTTTAGCTCATCAGAATTGATGCATTTACCTTTTTGGAAACTGTTGCAAGTTTTAGCACAGGTAATTCATAAATACATTTTTAAGCAGCATTTTGGAACATAAAAGGCTCACGCTTTACCATATGGTTCATTGGGCTGGGTCCTAGAAGTGTCAAGCCTGTTTCAAACCATGGTGGCCCCATAACTCAGCACTGCTTAGTATGTAAGTATATATTTCAGATACCTCCCACAAAGGACTTGCCTGCTAATTAGCTCCTGCCACTCATGGCTGGAATGGGTGTTCTTGCCATGAGTCCTGGGATGCTCCAAAACTTTATATGTGGGTGATGTGCAAGGCAGCCTTGTCTGGGTCCACCTCATGGAGGTCAGGGCCACACTAATTATAAGCAACAGGCTGAGAGACGGGGAAACAGAGAGATTCTGGAAGAACTGTTTGGAGCTCCTTTTGGTGATGTTTGCCAGACATTTAAGATGGGTAAAAACAGGAATCATTGGAAATGGGAAAAGCACAGCTCTGCTGCAGGGGTGAAGAAGTCAAAATGTATTGAATATAGTGGCTCACCATGACTTGGAAAAGAGTCAACACTGAGGGGGACTGAGTGCAATGGGCATTATCAGGTATCTTATTTGGATGGGCTGTACTAACCTATTTTTGTGGTAGGTTTCCATCAATACCTTAGTTTTTTGGCTCAGATCAAGTATAGGGGGCATCTGAATCCCCATACCTCTGGGCTTGGGCCTGCATGTAGGATGTCAGCCAATGGATTTGGGAGTATCTGAAGTCCCAGGGTATGTCTGGGATGCTCACTAGTTGTAGCACCATACATGGTGTTTAGAACAATTGAGTTCTGCCTGCTTAATTGAAATGTATTTTTGAATGATGGAGTTCTGCTCAGTTAGTATGATTTGGAAATGATTTGGCTAATTTGACCTGGAACATAAAATACATTATTAAAAAAAAATAACCCAGTCTTTTGGTTGAGATCAAATGTAGCAATTTTGAGACTAAAGGGAGGGTGTCAGAGCTTGCTCTGGTTCTTGTGATACCAACTTGGTATTGCAGTACCTCAGGCCTGATGCCACTTCCCTGTGGAGGGAACACCCACCTGTTTTTTTTTTTAAGGGCCAAAAAAAAGTTCCCATCAGCATGTCTGTCAAATTTGAGACATATGTTTTAGAGACATGCTCAGTACTGGTTGCATTTAATCAACTTTATAGTTCGTTTCTATTACTGTGCACATGGTGCTTTTGGCAGCAGTTTAATGATAGACAATGTATTTAATGAAGTTTCTTTGTATGCGAATGTAAGACTAGGGGCTTTCTATCCTAAGCTGATGGGGGATGGGTTGGCACATCATCTTATATTTGAGTAGATACAGTATATCTGTCTAGGATCTGCTTCAGGAAATAAGACTAAAACTGAGAAGACTGGGGTAGGAAACTCTTTTCTGGGAGTCAGAAAATGACACCAAGGACAACATACCTGTTGGTGGCATTTGCTATAGTTTTCTTAGCCTTCCTAGGTATTTTCAATGTACATATGTTTAATGTATATATAACCAAACAATTAAACTGCACTTAAAAGGTGCAACTGCTGCCTGCTCAAACAGTTGTAGCTCAGCCCTCAGTAACAAATTCTAAATGAGCTTAATTGACCAATTAATCTCACATGAAACTATTCAGTGGCAACTAAGGGCAAAATTTGGCCCCGTGTGGTGGTTGATGCCTCTAAGACTTGAAGTAGTCTCAAAGACAGGAATAAAATGGGAGAAGAACACAACATCCCCAAACACTATGATCACTCTAGGGATAAAAAAGAAGGCTGAAGGTGGCTGGAAGAAGGTATTACTGGGCACACCTACACATTCATTAATGCGCTGTAGCTACAGCACGTTAAGTTTATTCCCTGTAATAACAAGTACTAACTCAATGTGCAGTAGCACCAACACACACCTTTTAAGAGATGCTAAAGTGCAGTAGATCTACTGTGCAATAGTATATTAGCATGACTTCTGCCATGATGCATTATTGAGCAGTAGAATTAGTTTACTGCTCATTTAGCGTCTCATGTAGATGTACCCACTGAATCTGAAAATGCTTAAATATAGCTTAAAAGTAGCTTTGGAAACAGAGTGGTAGTTTCTGAGCCAGGTGTGGTGCTGCCAGATGTAGAAACAAGAATGACACAAACTACAAAGACAGTCAAAGTAGTATGGCGAAGAACATAGTGTAATCAGCAAGTGAACCCTTCAGTCTTCTCTCAGCATGATTAAAACTTTTCTCTTTGACAGCCTTGCAGAAGTAGTGGGGAGCATAACCTCCACAGCCAAGGCAGCTACTACACTTCAAAAATCTTCTACAGGGCTAAGTCAACTCTTCCATAATGTTTAACAGTGTCCATTAGGAAGGCCAATTTGGAGAACAGTTTCAGAACTCTGGTATGTTCCGTTATGGATACTGAAACCACTGTCCAAGCAGGGTGTGAATATATTGTGGCCATGGGGGTAGTAAGAGATACATTTATCTGTATCAATTCATGATGAATGGCAGCCAAGAGAGATTCGTAGAGAGACAAGAAAGCTACAAGTTTTAGAGTTGCTTTACTACATCCATCCCCACCAAGAGAAAATTATTTCTAAGGAATAATAATAGTAACAACAGCAGCAGCTAACAACATCAACAATAATAATAAAACCCTAACAGATGTTTTATAAGAGTTTACCTTGGAAGTGGAATAACTCCAAAACCTGCAATAGGTCACTGACTGATGTTTGTGAATCAGGCAATCTTCTTAAAACTCACTTCAGCAGATGATTTGGGGCAACACAAAATGTCCTCTTACACTGGGAAGATGTTAGAACCAGAAGTGAAGATTGGCCCCAGAGATCTAAACACTAGTTGCTTGGAAGCTGGTAAGGACAGACTACAACCTAGAGGGAGATGGATGAAGGAAAGGGAACAGTCCTTTCCAAACTGCCAGATACTGCTCAGAACTCCTATAACTAGCTACTGCTGCCCCAGCTAACATCTAGGAGCACACAGAAAGAAGGGGGACACATCTCCATGGCCTCTCTTTTGACCTTGGGAATACCTCTGATAAAAGAAGCTCTGTCACTCACTTACTCACTCCTAATTGGGTGGCACTAGAGATGGACAATAAGGCAGGGCAGGCAGCTGAGAAGCAGTCCCAATGACCAAAAAAAGTGATCTGTGGTCTATGACCCAGGGCTACATTCAGTCTCTTTATCTCAGGAGAATCTTGGGGCGTGCACTCTTAGCTGTTACAACACCCAAGGCTGCCTCCTGAGCCTAACTGCCTATTCCAGGTGCTCCTATGTGGAAGAAAGTGGGTGGAGCTTATTTTGTTACCAGAGGTCTCAGGTTAGGGATGGAGGCTATACTGATATGCCCAGGATGCACCTGAAAGGTCCTCTGCCCTTCCCACATGCCTACTTGAGAAGCAAGAACAATTCCAGGCTACAAAAAGATAGGACACAAGAAAGTACTGAAGGGAAAAGCTGTGGCAATTGGTTAGAACAGACACTTCAGGCAAACAGATCAGATCCAGAGAGCAATCCAGAATGAGAGTTCAGCGAGCTAAGTGAGACACCCTACAGATGTTGCAACATGTCTCTGGAACCTGTGGTATCTTTTTCACTGGAGATTTTCAAAAAGAAGCTGGATAGGCGCACATCTGGGAGGATTAAGGAATAGCAAATCGTATACCTGTGCAGAGAGTTGGACCCTTGAGGACCCTTCCAACACTAATTCTCTCTTAAAGAGCAGGGATCCTTAACCAAGATTGAGAGTTTTCTAGCAGTCTCAAAGTCCCCTTCTTGTTTTCATCTGTCCTGTGATCATCTTATCTTCCTTACACTGCCTGAAGCATGAGAAAGAAGGCCTCTAGCCTGCACTTCGGCAAAAAAGAACTGTATCATCAAGGGCCTTGCTGTCCTCTAGGAGTAAGAAAGCTTTCTGCTTCCTCAGTCTTTTCTAAGTGAAATTACTACAGTACCCAAATTTAATGGAATCATATCTGTAAAACAAAGAGAGAGTACAAGCAACCATACACCTTTTTATTTTCATTTGCTCTAGGATGACCAGAGATTACCCACCACAGATTTGCTTTGCTTCATTAACTGTGAATTGTGTAGCCATCCCTATGGATAAAAATAAAAGTTCTATACTATATTCATATTTTTTGGCTACTGTTCTTTTCAATTAAATATTTTTTGCATGACAATAATGAAATAACTAGCCCTTTTTGAATAATCCTATTCCAAAACATCAGGAAAGAGGGACTAACATTAATGCACTTACTGCTGCTTATGCATATAAGATCTCTGGTCCATGACCTGCCAGTTCCATATCAGGACATCTCACCAACTAACATCACAGTAATGATGTTTTCTTCATGTAATTCCTTTATTTCATCAGTAAAGACTAACCAAAGGATTCTCACCACAGAATGCTAAACATGGTTCTTTCTGCATGTATTGTTGTCTAAGCAGTTTTTTGGGGGTTTTTTTAATTCATTTTATTTTCTTGCCAGGATTAAGATTCCACAGTCATTGTTCCAAAAAAGGAGGCAAGGAAAACAGCTGCAGTGCCAATTAGTGGGGCTGAAAATGTGATATAATTGTTGTTTAAATGTCCTTAAATTGCCTGCTAATTACAATGTGCCGTCATAATTTTGTAGACTTCCAAAATAACTTCTTGTATTTAAGAACCAAGCCAACCATTTTTTTATTATGTATTTCTGCTTGGCCAGCAAATGATAGGTCTTTGAGGCTAGGAAATATTTTTGTATTTAAAAGGTGAAATTTAAATAGCTTAAATTATAAATCTGCATCAAAATACTTTGTCAGTCAGCAATACAATTTAGAAGTGTTTGTTCCTGCATCTTGAATACTGAGTCTTGAAAGAGAAGTTTTAGCATAAGTAGGGCTTGAATGATAGGAAAAGAAGGAAACACTCTAGCTTACTTTGCTGCCTTAGAATTTAGTTTTGAAACAGTGATGAGTGATTCTGGATTTCACAGTGTCCGGGTGGTCAATCTGTGATGAATTTCAGAGAGACAGGTGCTCAGCACTCCCTGAACATCAATAATTGAGCACCTTTGAAAATGTAGGATGGATTTCTATTTTTGTACATGTGTGCTATACACACATCCACCTACATTTAACCTCTAAGCATAGTCTATAGGGAAGCCAGCCTTTTCAACATCCTGTCAGCATCTCTAACAAGAGAGGTGTGAGATTCAATTCTTTTGCCTATGTGAACATACATTAAACAAAAAACAAAGCACAATGAGCACGAAATATGAACAAGCAACATGTCCCCTCAGCTTTTCCAAGGGGCCTCTGGTATCGAATGCCAGTGACATAACAGTTATTATAACCGCTAACATACGTGGAAATGAGCCTTAATAAAACAAAGGTAAATAACACCTTTGTGAATATTGTTTTATGTTATTACTTTCTATCTGTTAATTTTATTTTCCAATTCCTTGCCTCTGAAGCCTCGCTAGGTAAATAGCTCCTCTCTTTATAGCACTGACATAGTATATGGGTGAATCTATGCTAAACTGTAGTAAAATCAAAGCTAAACTAGCAATTCCACATCAGGGCTTGACGTTCTATTTACACAGTCATGTGGCTACACGTCTTCCTTGTCTCTTTTTATTTTGCTCTATCAGCATGCCTGGGAGATGGGCTCTTGCTGATATTATTATTCTGAGCTGTATTTCTGAAACTGCATTTTCATTAGTCCCTTCTATACAGAAACTGATCTCCTGCAGCCCCATTCTGACCATGAATATAATACAGTGCCCTCCTCACAGCAGGAAATGCTGAAGATCAGTGAATGTGACACTAGCCCCTGGGACTCTTGGTATGCTCACCACCATGTACACACCTGCTTCATCCCTGGGCAGGGTCCAGCATTCCCACGCCCTGCTCTTTTGCATAGTAGCTCCAGTGCTCCAGGAATGCTGCTGGAAGGCTGCTGTTCATTGTTGTAATGCAAGAAATACAGAAACATTAGATAAGGAAGGGGGTCGCATAATTGATATAACGTCTCATTATAAGTCATCCCCAAATAGCTGCTAAATTCACATGATCAAGGCTTTTTTCTTACTAAATACATGGATAGCAATGCCAACTTGAAGCTCAGCAGCACCTAATTGCAAGTAGTTTCACATCAAAATGAACTAAGGAGCAAAGTGCTGGCCAGCAGGAGCCCAGGTAGTCGAGTTTTCAACTGCTTCACTGCTGAATCAATAACCAAATGAAAAATATCAAACATTTGTCTTTTCTCCTCAAGTCTATTTGAAAAAAACTTGCAACTTTTTTCCATCTAAACACACCTCCCCCCCCGCCCAAGTGTTTTGTTAAAATCAGAAATGAAACATTGCTTATTTTTATTGTTATACCTTAAAAATATCTATCTTATGCCTTAAAACATTTTGAAACAAAAAAAATCAAAGTGTTTCATCTCAACTTTCCCGCTTCCTTTCTCTAACTTTTTCAACTGAAAATATCACCTGACTTCAATCCCACATAGTTTCAAAAACAACATTTTTCACCCAGATTTAGATAAGATTGGAAGACAAAGTCCCATTCAAGTCTCTGGCAGTGCATCCTCAGAAAAGAATAACATAGCTTTAAGTGAGGCAGGGCTCTTAGCTTAAGGCTCTTATCAGGTAGGGATGATTCTGTAGCAGAGTGACTTACAGGTGGAGTAAGTCAAATGTTTTGTGCTGATTAAATGTTTTTGGACAAAAAATGTTTTTTTTTTAAACTGTGGAATAAACTCCCTCCAGAGGTGGTGCAGTCATCTACCCTGACATCTTCAAGAAGGCACTGGATGGTTACCTCGCTGCAGTCACCTGACCCCAGATGTCTTTTCTGCCTAGTGCAGAGGGGCTGGACCCAATGATCTTGCAAGGTCCCTTCCAGCACTTACATCTATGAATCTATGAAAATATGCATGGTAATACTCTCTTTCTCTCAACACACCAGTAGAAAAAGAAAAAATGTACTTTACAACTTTCATCATTTGTTCCATTTATGTTAAAATAACAAAGTTTTCGTTAATTTCTCCATAGAAAAAAACAATAGATTTTCATCAGAAAAATAATAAGCTTTCTTTTTATAAGGTCTGGGTAGGGTCATGGGTGAATCCAGAAGAAGAGCGAGTCAGGTGTCTTCACACCTCCTTCAGCTGTGTAGCCCATGTACAATGAGCTCTCTGAGCTCCTGGCTGGTCAGTGCAGGCTGCTGCTAGACCTCCGCCTGCACAGGGAGCTCTCTGACTTCATCACCTGGCTGATGTGGGCTCTTGGCACAGCCATTGCTTTCATGTGGCTCGAGAGCTCAGGGTGTGAGCATTGCCACTGTTTTGCCCCATCATTCCTGGCCCCATGCTGAATTTGGGAGCGGGGGGAAAATGGCAAATAGTAGTAGTGCTCATGCCTAGGCTCCAGAGAGTGTGACAGTGGCTGTGGCAAGAACTCCCGTTAACCAGAAGATGAGCTCAGAGAGCTCTCTGCACAGGTAAAGCTCCAGCAGGAGCCCTACACTGACCAGCTGGAAGCTCAGAGAGCTCATTGCACATGTGAAGCATAGCAGAAAGGTACATGCAAATGCTCCACTGCACCCCCCCACCCCCTGCATCCACCCCAGTGGAGGGTTAATCAGGAAGAACACCAACCAAGTTTAGCTGTAGGCTAGTTCTAGGGGTTCATCCTTGTAAAACCGGGGCAAAAAGCTCAAAGTTTGTCTCTAGTATTTATGCCTTATACAGGTGTGCACACATAGACATATACCCATCTCCCCACCATGGCCATGCTAACCTGATTATCCTTTCCTATGTACTTGGAATGGTTATTTATGCCTGAACAAAGCGAGTGTGAAGTAGGAGTAAAATAATCTCATGTCCAGATGGCAGTGTTGCCTTCTAACTCTGGCTACACAAGTTGTAAGGCCATGCATTGCTCATAATATCTTCCACATGGCCACTGCTTAGACCCTGCCTACATTCCTTTGTGGACTTTCATGGCAGGGCTGCTTGTACTTAAGAATAACTAAGCCACAGAAACTGTTTACCTGATAGGAACTGAGTCAGTATGTAGCCTTAAGTCACCAAACTGCAGCCTCCTAACTTACCAGGCTGCGCAGCTGTTGCTGTAAGCACAAAGACTTCAAAAGTCCACCTGGAATAAGGACAGCTGGTTTATGTGAGTGCATTGGAATAATGCGCTCTGGATACTTTAGTGGTGCTGCAGGCAGAACAAACAACTCATTGCTGTCCCATCAGCCCAAAGCAAACACCAGTTACATTTCAAAGGAACAGCCTGGTATTTACAACTGATCCAACCTGAAATGAAATTCAAATTGGAAACAGCACCCCAGGAGAACATCTCTCTTTTCCCAAGGGTTTTGCTGATTTCTTGTGACCACAGCTTACTCTGCCCTGCTTTACCGAACCTACACGTCTGCCTGAACCTAAATCAAAAGGAGTCTGTACCACGTAGTTATATATATATATAGGGAATGAGAAAGAGAGAGAGAGAGAGAGAGAGAGAGAGAAATGAATGAATCAATATACAGTGAAAACTAGAAGACTTTTGTTGACTCAGCCACAAGCTTTGAAATACTTTGATTCCCTGCAGCCATCCCAGTAGGGTCAAATCAAGCCACCAGTCCTTCCAAGGTCGATAAACTTTGTTATACAAAGCTTAGTGTCTGGGTCAAAGAAGACATTGAAAAATAAGGGTCTGTCTGTTCTGAAGGGATATTAAAAGTTCCAGGGTCCATTTTCTGAGTGGATGGATTTTCTTTTGTTGTTAGACAGTCTGTAACATGCCAAAGGAGCTGGAAATGTACTTGATATAAGCTAGATGTGGATTTCCTCACTGTCGAGGAGATGTGGTCTGGCTGGTAGTAAGGTGTCTGAGGTCAGAGCACTTTGCACTCTGGCAGTTCTTGATACGTTCTCTGGCTCCTGCAATGCAGTGGCCCCTAAGGCTGCTCTAACGTACTTTGGGGCTAACAGCAGGCATTGCTGATTGAGCATCAGAAAAAATGTAAGATCTGCACTATTGGCATGAAGATGATATGGCATATAGAATTCTCAAAGGACAGTCTTGACCCTCAAAAGCTTTCCTCTCTACAGAGCAAACTCTCACCAGCTCTAATATTAATTGTCCTCCCTCCCTACCTTGGAAAAGTCAAGAACAGGTGAGGTATGAAGTGTGTACCAAATCTGATTTTATGGGTAGGGAGTGTATATGTGTGGGCATGTGCAAAATGCATATGCAGGCAATGTATGTGCAAATAAATTATGGACTCTTCTAGCACATTAAGCAAGTTTGTAACACCCCAAAAGCAATGACTACACTTGTAAAATGAAAGAGAACTTCAGGCCAAATGTTTTTCATCTATCCATCCATTCCTAATGTGGCCTTCACCATGGGACCCCAAGTTGTTACAGCAAGGCAGCATTCTATTAATTTAGTGCTTGTGAAAAGCCCCTGAGTAATTGTTCCTGGGAAATGAAACCCTTTCTTTTTAAGCACAAAGCAGGTAAGGCACAAGTAATGCTTCCCTAATTTCCCTGTGCTCACATGTTTTTCTCCCAAATATGTCTCTGTCCTCATCATTTCATCTTTGGCACTTTTCCTAGGACTGCCAACAGAGGTGCCCAGTTAGTGCCAACAGCTATGACAAAAATCTGTGAGCTAGCAATTGGCTTGAGGCCAACAACTGATATCTAGTGCATTAAGCCATTTCTTTACAAACAGATAAATAAGAAAAGTGATGGACATATTACTCAGACAGTTCTGCAGGACTACTAGTGTGTGTACGAGCAAGTCTTGTCAGCTATTTCAGCACAGAAACCAAAATATGTTTCACCTGATTTTGTGCTCTGAGACATTTGATTTTTCCTGGAGACAGCAATACAGACAATTAATAATATGAAAGGAATAATGCATATAAATATAAATTCAGTGGAATACAGATAGCTAAAGGGTCCACTAAGTATTTCAAGCAATTTATGGTGTCTAATAGGCTGTTTTGACTTGGCAGTAAAACTCCATAGGGACAGATGAATCTTTATACAAATGATGCACAGCCTGGTTAAGTTTGAGTATTGAACACCAGTTTCTTTTCAGTGAACAGATACACACCTTTTTAAAACATAAGAGGCTAAGAGATGCCATAGGGTCAGGCTACAGGTTGATCTAGCCCCATCTGCTGCACCCCACAGTGTCATGGAGCAGATTCTTAGAAAAAGAGTATTTATGGAGGGCCTATCCAGACTAATCTGTCCCCATTCCCTCTTCCCTTAAAATTGTCAACATTTAGAGGCCCAAGAAATCCACTTCTGGAACTAGTGCCAGTTGCTATAATGCTTAATACCCACTGATGGACCTAATCAGTGGGTGTCGCACCTGTCTGATCCTCTTTTGGGGATGATAGAAGCTACCTCATTCCCAGATAACTGCACTGGTCAAAAAAAGGGCTCACCACCCTCCTTAAAAGCAGACACTGTGGTCTGGGGAATGGGCAGGGAGCAACAGATGCCTTTTCTTTCCCTCTCCTACTGGTCTCCAAGGTGTCCCTCCCCCTGTTATTTCAATGTCCCTGGTCTGGGGGAGATGTGGGGAGCATTCCTCAACAACTCTTCCCAATCCTGGGAGTAGCAGAACTGCTGCAGCTCCCCTTGCCTTCTCCAGATTGGGATCACCCCAGTCTCAGGAAAGTGCAGGGAACATTTCCCTGCTCCTCAAGTCATCCAGGCCTGCGTGGGGAGTGGAGCTGTGGGGAAGCATGCAAGTGCTTGTGCCTGCAGGAGATACTCTTGCAGGCTAGATCTTATTCACTGAATGAGGAAGATCTTTCTCTCAAATGAATCATGTTTTCTGCAGCAGAAATTTAATGAAAACTTGTATGCTCTTAGTTTCTACTAGGAAAGGCGGGATTCTGGTAGAAACCAAACCC